GTGGATTTTACAGACGGGGTGTTTCTGGGGGATGTGCTGAAGTTGAAGTTGAAGTTGAAGGGGGAGGAGGGGCGGGGAGGTAGATGGTCTGTGGTTATTTTTTGGCTGCCGTTGGCTTCTTTGTAGAGGGCTGTTATGGGGTTTGGGAGGGGCATGTTGGCTGTTGGGTCTGATTCTGTTGTGTATAAGGGGTCGAGTCTAGGGAGGCTGGATATATCCCGATTTTAAGTAATGAGTGGCTCGGGAAATCCAATGCGGGATATCCGAGGTCTGGGATGGGGAACGTCTTCATGCTTTGTGGATGGAGCGAGTGAATGCTGGGGATATAGCCCTAGTGGCTACTGCCTTACGAACTGTTGATGGATTACAGGTTATGTATGTGTCTAGATAGACACCTTGGTATTTCTTCAAAGATTCATTTCGTCGTAATCTCATTAATCCGAACTCATATCAGGTACATCAGCCTCTAGATGGAAATCTTGCAAGACCCAGAGGACAGTCGTTCGGATCACAAGTCATCAACGTTCATTTCCGCCTGGCCAACCTGCCTAGTACAACATGGCGAGACATGGGGCGGACCTTGAAATTCCATACACTCATTCCTTTCCCCTCCCCACGGCTCATGCTCACAGAACCGGAGTATATCCAGGAAATCTGTGGTGCCGTGGGGCTTGGGTCTGCTTGACCTTTTCCTTCTTTTTTTTTTTTTTTTTTTTTGTAAATTTTTGACATCTTTTTTGTTCCCTCAGGAGGGATCATCACAACACATGTTCATGCAAAAGGAGTGACTATAGTTGAGCTTAAGCAAATAATGAACTGCTCGAAACCATGCCAAGCCTACATCGAGTCGGGTATCGTTGCATCGACCAGCGCGCAGGGAGGTAGTCCACCTCCCGTCTCGGTGATGAGTTGGGGTCCTCTCAAGAGGTTTCAGGATGGGAGATACGGGGTCTTAAATGAGAGTGGATCGTATCTATCTGCGCACAACGATTCCCTGGCGGCGCACAGCACTGCGAGCTCGGCGGTATTCCTCGTCGCTGTCGGACTCGGAGCAGCTGGCCTCCGAGGACTCGGTCACGTAGCCGCATCGGCTACCGCCGCAGTCGAGCTTGACGCGGTCACCCTTGCGAGTGATGCCATAGCGTTCACAGTGGCAAATGGAGGCGGGTGGGTCACTCATGGACGACAAAGACGAGGGCGAGGTGCTGCCAGACGAGCGAGACGACAGAGAAGAGCCGACAGAGCTGGGAGGGCTGTTGGAGTACGAGTACTCATCGGACATGCGGGAGCTGGCGAAGCGCATGGTCAGTTCCTCCATGTTGGGAGCAAAGTCGGTTTCCCGGATCTGGCGCGAGGCGTAGGGCTTGGAAGGCTTGGGGTGGTGGATCTTGGATGGAGACAGAGCGCGGCCCTTGGCAACGTCGGTGGATCCTCTGCGCGTCTTGGGGGCAGGGTTGGAGCTCTTGCCGCCGGGGACGTCGAGGATGTTGAGCTTGCGGCCAGTGGTGGGCTCCACGGTGTACTCAACGGCGGGATCATGAGAAACATGGTATCCATCCATGATATACTATGAACAATCAGCATTGATACTCACATGCCGACACAACCAGGAGGCAGACTCACGTAGTACCAGTACCGACCACCGAGCTTGAGCATAGAGGTCTGGAAGCGGAACTTCCCAACCCACGAGCCCGGCTTGGAGTCATCTCGGGAGAGGGGGATCTGACGCGAGTAGTTGTCCCATGAGCCGGCCAGGTGGACAGTCTTGACGTTGGAGGAAGTCCGGAGAGAGAACTTGAGTTGAACAGCGGTCATTATGGCGGTAGTTGCAGAAAAGAAAAAAGCAAGTTGAACTAAAGATTATATTATATGAGAACTCGAAAGACCGATAGCTCGTTGGCGCAGAGCTATGGACAACAGAATGACTACCGGAGTCGATTCTGTTGGTTCGTTGGATGGCTTGTTGGTTTGGAGGCGAAGCAAGGCTCTCAACAAGGCTCGCTGGGGGAAATTTCCTTCGAGGGGGTGACGGGAACCAGTCCGCGACAGACAGAAATAGAGATTGGAGAAGAAATTAAAGTAGTAAAAAGGTCTTGACAAAGAGTAAACCAGTTCTTTGACAAAGGACCCGAGCAAGTAGTCTGAGCTGGATGATAGGCTGACAAACGACGACGTCGACCGGCGACGAAGATTGAAAGGCTGTAGAGAAGAAGATTGTATAGTCTAGAAGTATCCTGAGCAAAGGCAAATCAACAACAGGGGCATCAGAAAGCACAGCTTGTCTGATGAGGGCAGGGGAAGTAATTAGTTGGGGGAGTATAGTATATCAAAAGATATCAAAGAAGTTTAGAAGCGATAAACAAAGAAAAAAAAAAAGAAAACCAGTGCAACCAGTGCAGAGGATACTTCGAAACTAAAGGCAGCTCAAACCACACAAGACTTGCTGAGGAAAAGAAAGAGAAAGAGAAGAGAGGAAGAAGAAGAACTTCTTGAGCGCAGGCCGGCGGCTGCAGCATCTTTAAGGCTCGTCGAGGCATCCAACGGATTTCCGCTGGTGGTGATGTTCCTCGTTGGTATTATGTCCTGTCATCTACCCGTAATGGTCTGGTATTTTCATTGTATTGCTGGTAATCCTGTCATCCTGCAGGCTATTTCTGGGAAACTCTGGCTGGGGTGGAGGGGATTGTGCTCGAGGTGAGCCAATAGAACAGAGTGGATGCTACTTCTCCGCCGTCACAGTGGGGCCCTTGATCTTTCTGGCGGGTGGACATCAATAACCATTGGATGGAAGAAGGGAAAGTGGGTCTTCTAGCGCACTCCCAGAGCCAACCACACAGCAGGATCACCCCACCAACCATCACCCTGGATTTGGCGCCTGGATTGCTGTGTGATACCAATCCACCATCTGGCAGCAGGTACCTACAACAGTCCGAGGGACGCAAGTACTGTCGGTCACCAGCCATTCTTCAATATTAAGGTTCACAGGCCACTTCACCATGCAGCAAAGAGGGGAAATAATACGAAGAGGAAATGCAGATGCATACAGGGAGGAAGAGGAAGAAGAAAGAAGCACAGGATCTCGGACATAAACCCGCCAGTGACAAAGTCCTGAAGATTGAGGCTGATTCAGCTAGTAAGGATGTGAAGAGATTTGCAACGGAGTATTCCTAGTTGTAGATAATCCAAGTGTCTGTGTTTTCTTAATTCAATCGAGGCATACGGAAGAGAACAAAGTCAAAGGCATATCGCTCCCCCCTTCAAACTCATCTCTCAAATCGATTCGCATCTAAATCACAAAAGCATCAAAAATTGAGAGAAGGGACAATCCATCTTGCATCCGTTTGTACGCCAGGAAAATGCCAAAAACCAATCTGTTTTGTCTCCGTCGAGATCACAAAAAGTAAAAAAAAGAAAGGGGAGGGGGGAAACCGGGGGATATGAGGGCATTTGGAAAGATTAGAGAGGGGGAGGAGCATCGATTAGAAGAATGGTTTTGATGTCGTAAGAAGAAAAAGAAGAAGACTGTACAGGACCCTCGTCCAAGTCCCCTGCCCACTGAACGCTGCGCACTCGAGAGTACTCATCACCGCACAGACACGCCAGACCGGTTGGTAAACATACGAGCAGCGATATTCATGGCTGCCAGCTCCTGGAACAGAAGCTTGGCGGCGTAGGGAATATGGACCTGCGAGATCCGGTGTTTGTTGTTGCACAGGCGACACTCGAAGAGTCCCTTCTTCAGTTTACTGGAGAAAGACAACCATCAGTAAGCATGCTACGGACAGGGATGAAAGGGAAATAAACTTACGCGATCGGGGTCATGAGTCCGCAGTCGTCGCAGATGTGGACTCGGAACGGGTCGGAAACATCGAACAGACGCTCCTTCAGGAAAGCACTGGCTCCGTGCGCAATCATACAATCACGTTCCATCTCTCCGAATCGGAGACCACCATCACGGGCCCTACCTTCCACAGGCTGGCGCGTCAGAATCTGAGTCGGTCCACGTGCACGAGCATGGATCTTATCGTCGACCATGTGGCGCAGACGCTGGTAATAGGTTGGCCCCAGGAACACTTGCGCCACCATCTTCCGTCCAGTGTGGCCGTTGTACATCACTTCAAACCCACGAGACTGGTAACCGTGTTCACGAAGCAGACGAGAGACAGAGTCGACAGTGACGTCAGTGAAGGGTGTCGCGTCACCTTCAAACCCACGCAGCGACGATACTTTACTGAGCTGACACTCGATCAAGTGAGCGATGGTCATACGGGACGGAATGGCGTGCGGGTTGATGATGAGGTCGGGTACAACGCCCTCGCGTGTGAAGGGCATGTCTTCCTGTCGGTAGGTGATACCGATGGTACCCTTCTGTCCGTGACGAGACGCAAACTTGTCACCAATCTGGGGAATCTTAGTCGTCCTCATGCGCACCTTGACGAACTTGAGATCATCATTGCTGGTGGACACCAGGACTTGATCCACGATACCATTCTCCGTGCTTCGCAAAGGTGTCGACACATCCAGCTTGGTGTGAGCCTTGGTTCGCTGGCCAAGCTCTTCTGCCTCAGGCGCCAAGGGAGCTGTTTTGCCGATGATGATATCCTCACCCGACACACGGACACCTGGAGCGATGATGCCATCCTCGTCGAGCTTGTCGTAGGTACCCTTCCTCATGCCGATTGTGTCCGAACGCATGGGCTTCTCAAACCGTTCAACAACGGTAAGACCTACCATCTTCTCCGTGTCCGTATAGGTACGGTAGAACATACTGCGGAAGAGACCACGATCAATGCTGCTCTGGTTCATGATGACGGAATCTTCTTGGTTGTAGCCGGAATAACAAGCAATAGCGACGATAGCATTCTGGCCGGCTGGCAACTCACGGAATCGGAGGAACTCCATAGACCGGGTGGTAGCCAACGGCTTCTGTGGGTAATAGAGAATATTTGCCATTGTCTCCATACGCTGGTCGAAGTTGGTCAAGAACACGCCCATGGCCTGTTTACCCATTGCAGACTGGTAGGTATTACGGGGCGACTGGTTGTGATCCGGGAAAGGAATGATACTGGCACAAACACCCAGAATCATACTGGGGTGAATTTCGCAATGCGTCCAGGTATGCGCCCTCTGACTCAGAATTGAGCGGACACGCTTGTTCGGGTCATTCAGCTCCTCTTCGGGAAGAGCGTAACCGGCCTGGAGTTGCTTGGAGATCTCGAGGTCCTCCGGCGTCATGGAAATCATGATATGCTCTTCTTCCTCAGCATCGACATACTCCACGACTCCCGACTTGACCAGACCATCCCAGCCAAAGTAGCGTTCTCTACGCTCCTCAGGGTCAAGATCTGGGGGCAGTTCTTTGTCTTGCTCCAGCTTGCGAATATGCTCCTTGTTCAGCACCAGAGAGCCGCAGTTCTCACTCTTCGGGTCATTGTCGATGACAAAGAGTGGTCGACAAACACGTCCAGCATCAGTGAAGATCTTGAACTCACGCTCACGGATGTCACGAATCAAGCTGACCTCATGCGAAATCATGTTACGACGACGCAGAGAGAGCATCGTGTTAACCAAATGAGCTGGATCTCTGTGGACACCAACCCAGACACCGTTCACGAACACTTTCGTGGCGTTCGGTGTCACTTGGGGCTCGAATTCCTCAAGAACCTCCATGTTGCGCTGAATCATGAAATCAATGATGGGTTCGCTGGGGGTACCGACAGTGATGTAACACATCAGAGCCAAGTTCTTGACCAGACCACAAGCCTGACCTTCGGGTGTCTCTGCCGGGCAGACCAGACCCCAGTGCGTGTTATGAAGCTGACGAGGTTTGGCGATCTTACCGTCACGGCCGATGGGCGTGTTGGTTCGGCGCAGATGTGACAAGGTGGAAGAATAGGTGTAACGAGACAGCACCTGCGAGACACCGGCTTTGGAGCTCGCTGCTTTTTTCTGTTCTCCCCAGTTACCCGTGGCGAGGGCATATTTCAGACCTCCTGTCAAGGTACTGGCCTTGATACCGATATTGAGGTAGATTTCCCTGTTGGTTTCAACACATCTCTGGACGTAACGCTGAAGGTCGCGGGTGACTCTGGTGAAGAGAACGCGGAACAGGTTGGCAAGCAAAGGACCGGCAAGATCGAGACGTTTCTTTCCGAAGTGATCACGGTCGTCAACATCACGGCGACCCAGAGCGCATTGCAAGAGTCTGTGCACCATGTAACCCAAGAAGAAAGCCTTGCGGGTCTCGCTACCCTCGCTCTGAGAGATGTGAGGAAGCAGTTCCTTCTGCATGATCTCCCGTGCGTATCTGACACGGCGCTCATGGTTCATGCTCGACTGAGAAGAACCACGCTTGGCAATGAAATCCAGAGCGACCTCACGGTCTTGAATGACAAAACCTTCTTCAATACAAGGCTTCAGCATCTCCAGCATAGGGGTATCATTTCTGTCGTAACAAATGTGGTTGAGGATATCCTCGTCCGAAACCACGCCAAGTGCTCTGAATACCACGACAATGGGAATGTCGGTCTTGACGTAAGGCAAAGTCGATCTGATTGTAGGTCCGAAACCGCCCTTGGCGCTGTCTCCCTTGGCGAAAAGCTTAAGAGACAATTGCGAAAGCAGTCTCGAACCCTTCTCGACCGCACTGCGAATCTCCGCAACGTAAGGTGTAGGACTGGGTGGCGCTTTTTTGAACACCTGAACGGTGTTTCCGGCGCTTCGCTCCTGGGCAATCAAGACCTTTTCACTTCCATTGATAATAAAATAACCTCCCGAGTCGTAGGGGCACTCATTCCAGTTGTATAGAGCCTGTTCGCTCAGATCCTTGAGGATACAGTACTTGGACTTGAGCATGATGGGCATCTTTCCAATGAACACGGTCTCCTCCTTCGCCTGATCAGCGGGAAGCTCCTTTTGCTCCCACTGCAGGTATGTGCCACGAGCCTTTCTGTCCTCATCCGCATCTGGGACCGTTTCGTCATCCTCACGATCTGCGATCAACCGTTCGCGACCTTCCATGATTCGCTTAGTGATACCGAGGTAAAGGGGACTGGCGTAGGTCAGGTTTCGCAAGCGAGCCTCCTGAGGCAACATGATAGTAGTCGCACCGTCACCTTCAGTGACTGAGGGTCGAGAAAGCATGACGGTTCCGAATTTGAGTTCATAACGGCGGAGGACGACTGGGTCGACTTCATCATCGGCAGGAGGAAGAGTCTGGTCGAGGGTAACTTGGCCTTGTTCCTCCACCAGCTCTTGCATCGTCGATGAAACGAATTCATCGAAGGAGTCCAGCTGCTGCGACACGAGACCTTTCGTGTCGAAGAAAGACGAAATCACCGTCCAGCAGTCCTCCGACGTGATTCCCTCCTCCATATCATCGTAGAACTCCTCCTCGTACGCATCGTCGTAGTCGGCCATTTTGAAAAGATTTGAATTCAGCGAGATTGATAAGCACAATGAAGAGGAAGTGAGCGCAAGAAGGGTGACGCGCTCAAGCGTGAAAATATCCCACTTCCGGGTCGCTCAACTGCTGCTACGAGCAGTGACACCAGCGTAAGCGTCCTCAAAAAGCGACACCGAAGAAGGGTTACTGAGTTGGGAATCTCAAGTAGATGAAAAAGTGAGAGATCCCCCGTCGCAGAGGATGGTGAACGGAGCAAAGCTGGACGTTTCCTTTCTCCGGCTGGGTGATGGATCTTGAGCAGAGAGCCGCCACTAGCGCCTCGACCCCCGACTTGGCGCTAGTCCTCGACTAGGACTGAAGAGGAAGTCATATCACGTGATTGATATCTTTTGCCTCTGGTATGGACATGTTGAATTTACGATCATAGAACATAGTAGTAGAAGCACATTATTCTAGGATGTTCTTCGGAGCTTTTTCTTAGTGGCTATTGTACAATCTTATGCAACTATATATTGCATAATCTCCAAAATGTCCTATAAAAACTGTAGAAGAGTCTCAAGCATCTCTTTATGGTCTTTCTGCCCAGGCTCATCCTCTGTGAGACCCTCAATTTGCTCTGACGTGTGACAAATTAGTTAGTCAAGATCAATCTAAGCACAGTGGACGGGACATTCACTCACCTTTCAAGGTTGCCTTGATCAAAGAGATATCTTCATCCCGGTCTGCTAGCAAGGAGACTATCTTCTGTTTGGCCCCATCATCCTCAGCCACCAGCCACGCTAATATCACATCAATCAACTAAAAATGTCAGTTTTTCACCAGCATACCAGCCTCAGAGTGAATTTACATACCTGCAATGAGAAAAGGCCAGCATCGAAGCGTCTCGAAAGCCACTCGGCTGCCATAACCTCTTGTTCTTCATCTGTATAATTCTTCCGTTCTTTCTCGATGGCCTGCTCAACAGGTGATACCCTTGAGGCATAGTCTCGTCTTAATTTGACAAGTTTGCCAATCTTCTCGTAGTCCTTTTCCATGAATTTGGCGAGCGTGCGAATTCGCGGTGCAGATCCTCCAGGCAGGAGACGTAGCAGTGAAGCGAAAATCCCGAGCAAATGCTCAATGACCTGACTCTCTTGCTGTTCAACGTCAGCGCAATAGCTCAGGTTTAGTCCTTCCTTTCCAGATGACTCTTACCTTTCGCATAAACATCCCAAAGATTGTCCTCAAACCCGCCACTTCAACCAACCGCTCACACGCAGGCCCACCTCCTAAGCCACCCAAAGCATGATCAAGGGCTCGCAAAGCTCGTTGTTTACTGAATTTACCCTCCTTCAGCATGATTTGCGCAAGCTCAATGCCCTCCCCTTCTAAGAATTTCTCCTTCCCGGGATCTTCATCGACAACGCATATCAAGGAATCGAAGAGATTCTCCACGTATTCTTCCTCGTCTGAATCCTTCTCGGGGTCGCGCTTGCGGTATTGGCTGAGTAGTTGAAGGAGAACATCCACGCCATCCAGACTAATGAACTTCTGCTTGTTCTTCGGTGAAGACTGTAGCAGGATGGCCAAGACCTCTGCTGCATACTGCTTGTTTTGGCTCACTGGATTCTCCTTTTGTTGTATGCGAGAAAGAAGCCACGACAGCACTGAAGAATCTTGGCCGATTTTCTCCGCGATTGCTATCTGAGAAGCAAGGTTCTCAATCACATCTTTATGACATAGTTAGCGCTATTTCGAAGGGTATTGCGATAATCGGTAGGACGTACTCAGCACATAGTACACCCCTGCCCTATCAGCCTCGGAGGATTCTTCTAACCGGGACAAATTTTGAACCAGGAGTTCAATGAGGTCGGCATCCAACTATAATAATTAGCATTATTCTAGCAAACCATCCACGAGACATACCAAGGCGTTAACTAGTGTATCCCATTGTTCCTGTTCAGCCTCTACGTCTTCATCTGTCAATTCGTTGATGATCTGGATCGCGTCGATGGCGATGTCGGCGTTTTCGTGGGATAGCAGTGATGTCAGAGATCCGACGCAGCCCAGCTTGCAGAATTCGCCGTATAGCTCCGGGTGTTCTGTTAGGATTGAGAGTCCATTTATCTCTGTATCGAGATCCGCTTCAGATGTCATGAACCTAACGGCCCGTCAGCATTGGGAGTGCAAATATGACCCATGCTGTTCATGCAGCTAGGACTCACTTTTGCGGATCATTTTCAAACTTTCCACGAAGCTCGGCATTTTTCGATATCTTCTTCTCGAAGCCAAGTGCGAGCCGTCGCAACCAAGCAACGTCGAACTTCTCGGGCTGAAGTAGGATTAGTACTGAGCCTGAGTAGTCATGATATAGACGCAAGGTCTCCATACCGCGGCCTCCCCTTCATCCAGCTGATCAATATATTGCATTGCCTGGGCAGTTTTGCGCTCCATACCCCCGCCGAAAAAGCGCCCTTCCTCATCGTCTGGTATGTCCTCGACGTCGAAATCTGGGGGGAGCTCTGGACCAGCTTCGCCGTCGTCTACCTCCTCGTCCTCCACCATTGGTGCCTTCCCTTTGGATTTGACATCGCCATTCGCGTTTAATTTGGCTGCTTTGTAGAGTTCATCTGAGATTGCGCATCAGTAACGATCGTGCCACTCTGTATGCGAAATGGTCGGAGGACATACTCGGATCTTGCGCAAGGTCTAATTTTCGCTTGGCGCTGGCTGCCGAAGATGGTTTCTGTTCACAATAAGCTTCGATTCACCAAGTGGCAAAGAGTGCGTGTCTGTACCTTAAAGAGGTCGTCTATACTGGTCATGGTCGCGGCGTGTAAGGTTGACAGGACGAAGGGAAACGGTTGGCCTGGCAAAGCAACAGCCCGTTCTACCGGAATGCTCCAAATTTATAGATAAAAAATGCTTACTTGTGATTTCTATGCGACCAAGTCTGACTTCAAGACAAGACTTCGCAGTCTTTTTTTTTCAATCAGTCTGTCGCAAGCTGCTGAGGAGATACGGGTGTCAAGAACAGCTAAAGACGCAATTACTGATGCCAAGAAACGTGCAACTCTAAAGATTTCTCGGAGCGCATTTTCCTCCGCAACCCATCAATATCGCCGACGTAACTGCCACCTCCTGCAAGAACAGTATCTTTGAAACCAGTCTACTCGATAAATTTTCTATCCAGATCCATTTCGCATCATGTCTCCCAAGCAGCGTGTCGTCGTCGCGGGCTCCCGCCCCCAGAAGGGCTTCTTCGGCGCCGCCTATGAAGAGCTCACTGCATCTGAGAATACAACCATCGTGAGAAGCCTTCTGGTCTTCGGTGTAAGTTTCTTATCTCGCTGGGTCTGCCTTTTGGCCTTCGCAGCAAGGACTAAAGCTAACCTTGCATCTTTGTAGGCCGGTGTTGCTTTCCTCCACAGCAGCCTCAGCGAGTTCCTCCTCCCTCCGTAAGTCGAGAACCATTCTCATGCATTACAATCCGGCCGATTCGCGACATGAGCTTCCTGGATGGAAACTGACAAGACTAGTCTGTAAACGATCTCCGATGAATCCTTGGATACCTGTTACTGAGAGACCACCGGATTGGTCTCTCAGGCCCTTCCCGCCATTCAAAACCGACACGGATAAGCTCGCAGCTCCTTTCTTGTCCTGATGGCTACTTGTACTATATTTTGGGCTCCGGTGGGCATATGTCTCTTTGGGAGAAATGATCGCACCTCCCGGGTCATGAGTTCGATATCATATGGCGTTTTATTAGACATTTTTCGAATGCAATGTTGTCTGGGTCCGTCTCTGATATTCTTTGGTTAGTCTCGAGGAAAGGCCTTCTCCATCAGCCAGATAATCATGTTATGTGAAGATATGTCTAGCCAAGAGGACTGGTTGTTAGATCCAGGCTGATTCCCACTCCATGGAAGGAATATTAGTCCTTCAGCCTGACAATCTTAGAACTGATAGTGAAGGGAATGTAGCTGCTGTTTATTTCTCCCATATTAAGCGCCTACAAGGTCTGCCGTGCCATCGCAATTGCATGAACAGAAAGGGTCCACCACTTGTGTGGGAGGAATGACCCTCAGGCTTCAATAGATAAAGATTGGGAGAAGATCTACATTCACTAGAAGAGCAGAATATACACCCCTGGTAATGTCAATCAATCTTAGTCTCTTAATTCCCTCTGTTGGCATGTTTCTCTGGGATTGATGTCCAACTCATAGCGGGAGAAGATCGCGGGTGACTGTTTTGATAGTGGCATCCAGAAGTGTATATCTCTCCCTTCTTTACGAAGTTTTCACACCAACCAGCTCATAATTTCATGCAGCCACCTCTTTACTACCGACTATTACGATTAGTACTCCACCCCAATCCATCTAGAACACCCTAATGAGGAACTGATATTGCCAAGACACCATTATCGACACCAAAACAACGCGGGGAAGCCCGCAAAAACCCCACAGGAACCCGAACACCGCCTTGACGAAGCGCCCGGGGGGACACTATCGGGACCGGTGCACGGCGTGTAGACTGGACAGCGTCGATCGCCTCTGCAAGTCTCCCTCTGTTTGCTTTAGCTACGTTTGATGGTTATCAGATCGCGTCTCTTTGCTGTAGAAGCAGCTATCCTCGGTTCCCCTCCGTCAGAATGATGACCGCCAAGCGCAAACTGTCAATGGCGGACACCGACTTGGATACCCCCATAGCAAAGAAGAGCAATTTCATGGGCTATGATGCTCGCACGCCATGGCTTTATGACTCTAGACCAACGCTGAATCGTCGGACGTCTGGGAACCCCGCGGTGCAACATTCTCTTCCGCTGGCCAATATGGTATCCACCGTCCAAGACCTCATCGATCCCGATTTCGACCCTCTTATTGCTATCCTAGATGACGAACCCCGATTTCTGAAGCCCTTGCCTAGTCGGATCTCACCGGAGGATCTTGAGCTCTTGAGATTTCGAGGCGCGCTCTCGATTCCGGAAAGAGGATTGCGGAATGAACTGCTACGGTGCTATATCCAATGGGTTCATAGCTTCATGCCGGTGTTGAATCTGCAGGAATTCCTTCGATGTGTTGCTGAGAATGATCTAAATGGGAATATCAGCCTCTTGCTCTTCCAGGCAGTCATGTTTGTCGCCACTGCATTTGTCGATTTCAAACACCTCCAGGATGCTGGTTACTCCACACGAAAGAGTGCACGGAATGCTTTCTATGAACGGCTAAGGGTATGAAGGTCATCGAATATGAACCATCTTGTATCCTGCTAACGCTGTTGATCAGCTGCTTTATTCCCTCGACTGTGAAGAAGACCGAATCGCCATTCTGCAAACCCTTCTCCTCATGACATACTGGTCGGATCAAGTCAATAACCCGCAAAGAGATATCTGGGATTGGGTTGGAATCTGCAACACACAAGCGCATTCCATTGGACTGAATAGAGACCCTACGACCTCGAACATGGATCCTAGGATGAAACGATTGCGAGTCCGTTTGTGGTGGAGTCTGTACTGTCGAGACCGTCTCATCGCCATGGGGATGAGGCGACCAACCCAGGTGAACGAAGGCACGAGCAGCGTCCCGATGCTGAGACTGGACGACTTTGACTTTGAACCCTATCACCCGTCGGTAATTGAAATATTCCGCTGTCGACAACTAGAGGACACATCCCACCAGAAGCGTCTAGCAACCATGTTCATTGAGAAGGCAAAACTTTGTCAATCTATTGGCCGTGTGTTATTTGCGCAGTACACCACCTCGCAGTGCCAGTTTGGCGTAACCAACCGAACAACCATCACGCTCGTTCCGAGGCAGGCCTCGGAATCGGAACTGGCACGTTGTAGCCAGAGACTCGACTCGTGGCTCAGTGCTCTGCCCAAGGACGCACAATTCATTCCAGCCTCGAAAACCAACTTTAAGGATGGTGAGGACGTTCTGTTGCTCCACGGCGCCATGCTGCGGATGCTTTATCACGCCACCATAAGCGCTCTGCACCGGCCGTGGGCATTTCATTCGAACAAGGATCAAGCTCCGTCCCGTCTCGAACTAGCCCAAACTGCGCGATCGAAAATGCACGACGCAGCCTTAGGCATCACTCACATCATTCAAGGACTCAATCAATTAAACATGACGAGGTTTCTTCCCCAGTCCGGCGTCACTGTGATCATCCCAGCAGCCGTGGCGCACTTGTCGAATATGATGTCAGACAATCCCATTGTCCGAGAGACGAGCCTTCAACACTTCCAAAGATGCATCAAGGTCCTACAAGGGCTAAAGGACCTCTATCCTGCCGCAGATGTAGAACACGCCAATATCGAGGCTGCCGTCAAAGTGCAGTCTGATAGCATTAGCACTTTCCTGAAGATAATGCAGTATAGCGATATGAAAGCGAGCCAGCTGAGGGGACCGGAACCTCCGCTACGCAGAGGAAGCACCGACTCAATTATCCACACGATCTCAACGGAAGACAGATCACCCGAGCAGCGAGATTCTCTGCTAGGAGGAACTCCCAGGCAGAGAACCGAGTCAGATGTGCACCGCAAAGATGGCCACACCGAACGTACATCCACCAAGAAAGAGAGCATTGCCACGGCGAACTTACACAATGGATCCCAACCCACAAATCAACAGCAACAACAACGGCCCATTGCTTCCAACGACTTCGACGACCATTTCAGCCTCTTCCCTTCCCCAGGATCAACCAGCCCCTTCATAACCACAGACCTGCTTCGAATTGACATGGACTCGTTCCCCGACTTTAAGCCCATGGACACGAACATGTCTTCGACCCCGGAACTAGACGTTGACTGGACAGATGAGCTCCTCGGCGGATCGGACCTCCATCTGGACGGATCGGGATCGAGCGTGGACGAGCCCAAAGATTTCTTCTCCTTCCCGTCCAGACGCGAGCCGGGCTCGATAAGCCATAGCCACTGTGGTATAACTGGCGATCTAGATCGCGATTTGGGTTTAGCGCTGGATTCGTATTGATGACCCCATCTAATTGCTTATGATGACTCTTTGTTGATTGGCGTTGTGCTGCGCGTCGTATTGTACATATGCATTAGATCTTGGGCTGTGCTTGCATGGAGGGAATTTGGCGTATATGATTTCACGATATATTTAAATGTGAACGTCACCGATACAAATCCCACGGGTAAGGTCGTAGTAATTTTTACCTGTAGCGAGCTGCAGACAATCATATCGCGAAAGGCAGCGCATTACCATAAATCATGTAATTCTAGCGCTCCATGCCATGTCTATTTCAATGGATATCTCGATATACAAAATATACAAGATTTGTTCTTCCGCTCCAAGTTCAAAGCAAACACACAATGGCTACCTCTGCTTAGCCCAGCGGTTACTCTCATCACCTTCCTCCCATAATTGCTCGGTATACCCAAGTCTCTGTTTCACCTCTTGGACGGTACTCTTGTCTCCTGTGTTCTTGCCCATGTTGTCACTGAGCTTGACAGCCGGACGACCGTTGGCTGTCGCGATCTTGATGACAATGTTCAAGGGTTTCGATTTCGTATCGTCCGATTTATGTGTGAAATCGTCTAGAGGGCATGGTTAGCAGGACAGGTGGGACGATGGGTGAAGGGCAGCTTACTGGTGAAGAACGTCCCCACGCCAAAGACGGGGGCGAAGCCGGCTTCCTCCGCAATCATCTTGTATTCCAAGCAGTGCTCGATGTCCAAGGAGTCGGAGAAGACAATCGTCTTCTTCTCCTTGATGCCTTCCCTGTCGTAGAAGTCGCGGACCATCTTGACGAAGTAGGCGGGATCGCCGGAGTCTTGGCGGACGCCGGTGTAGACCTGCGCATACGTCTTGGGGGAATGGTGGGCCTCAGCCTCGTTGAGGGGAGCGGCAATGGGCGGTTTGGTTTCGGCTTCGCTTTGGGGGGTTGACTCGCTTGTCGTCCCGGGCCCGGATGGCATGGTGGACACTTCGCCGACGCCTGCGGTGGTGTGATGGGGGATCGGCTTCCGGAAGGCATCGAGGAAGGCTGGGGTACCGAACGTATCGGTGAGGGCGATACCGAGCACCTATGACACAATTAGAGTGAATTCGAACAGCGCAGCATCGCGGATTTGGGAACGAACCCCTTCGCCGAAGCATCCCAGCCAATAGCTGAGAGCCAGCTCATTGGCGTTCTCGTAGTCGTTTGTGATGGCGGCGATGGTCATGAACCATTCATGGGCCACGGTGCCGACGGGTTTCACGCCATACTTCATCGCGAAGTGAACATTGCTGGTCCCAGAGAAGACGCCCTTCCACCCCTTCCGCTTCCCTTCTTCCGCTGCCTCGCAAAGTCCCTTCATGACCAAGTCTTGAGTGTGGTAATCGCGCCGACGTCTCGATCCGAATTCGGAGAAAATACATCCGTTCTCAAGCAGAGTGCAGCCCTTCCGGAGCGCCTTCTCCTCCTGGTTGCTGTGGTCCCAGTCTTTATCAGTGAACATGAAGTACGCCTGACTCGTCAGGGCCAGAAGCGGGATCTCATAGAGAATGGTCTCGACCCAGAGTCCCTTCATTATATACTCCAAATCTCCGAGATCGTCGTCACTACCGGTGTCGTGGACAGGGGTGAATTTGATTTCAATCTGCTCTGAGGGCTTGAGCTGGAAGGTGGTCAGGTAACGAAGGTAGGCATCGTTGAAGTACGGGCATTCCTTTCTAAGGAAAGCGAGCTCCTCATCTGTCACATGAACATTGGCCAGTCCTGTCCGGAACAATATATGAGAATTATGCGATGTGGTATCTGATAGGAGTGGCCCACGTACTATCCATCTGTTCCAGAAGCCATTTGTGAGCGCCCCGCGTCAACTTCATGTGCGGGGTGCGATTCGTGAAGCCGTATGTAACATCTGCGTAAATGACAAAGTCAGCATGAATCTGGACACTGGAGGGCCATGTAAACGTACGGACATCAGGGAAGTACTTTAAGATTGCACATTGCATCGTTAGCTTATACAAATCGGTATCTAGTAGGGAGAAAATGCCCTCTGGCAGCGGGGGAGATGCATCTTGGCCCATCTTTGCGCAAAATGGTGTCAACTGCACAATGTCAATTGAGCAATCACGGGCTTGAGAGAAGAGTTCCCGACTGAGATGCGGACTCTCAATACCTTGTCCGAAGCCAGAGAATATCAGTTGAGGCTAAAGAAAACTCCGTTGCTGGACAGTTCAACGCGGGGGAGTGGGCGAGATAGAGGCGGTTTGCACTGTTTGCACAGTTATGTGGTCGTGATTAAGCACGCGACGTCATATGCACATAATTTGAATTGATATGCTATTTGAAGGTCTATGTACAGAGTGTTGAAGGGTCATAAACCGGGCAGGCAATCATGATGTCTACCGAAACCCCACACTGGAATGATCGTCCAGCAGTACGGAAGTCAGATGTTGAGAGTCTAGAGCTATTCGAAGCGACATACACCTCGTGTGATGAACATGTAAATAAAAATGACAATGCCGCCAACGGAATCGTACCGGCGGCCTGCAAACAAAATCATCCAGGGCTTTATGCTGGAGAAGACAGGGCGGAGCATGTTGGCAAAAAAACAAAAATTTACCGCTCGACCAGCTGGGCAAGCTTAGTCAAAAAAGTCCTAACTCTAAGTTTATGTAGTAAGACAATGACGCTCTGCTGATCTGGGAACAACGACTTCCACTGACCTTCAACCTCACCCATCTCCACCTCCATGAATAGCACGGGTTTTGTCGCGCTATAATCCGGCCTGCGATACTAAGATCGAATCTTGACGGCCTCAAAAGCATCTGCTTCGGTCCATTATGGCCCACGGACATGAGGATTGTGCGTCGGTGCTGGAGCAGTTCGTTCACGATGTGGCGAACCTCCCAGCAGAAATCAATCACTTGATGGAAGAGATCCAGGCAAAGGATAAACTCATCCAGGATTGCCGCGCGACGATCAACTCCCGAGACAGCAGTTTACAAAAATTCATCAGGCTCAACGGCAGTCTGACGCCGAACCCCAAAGAAGAGCAGTACTCGAAGGCAATCCTTCAGAATCTGGACAAAGCACAGCAACTGCAAGACGAGAAGATCCAGCTGAGCGAGAAGGCATGTATTCTGCTCGACCGGCAGATCAAGAAACTGGACGTCAAGATCCGCGACCTGCAGAACGACGGCGTGCTCTCGAACGACCCTCCGCTCCCCTCCCTCTTCAACAACAAGGACCAGTACCGTGACCCCCCCAGGATCTTCTTCCCCGACGCAACGGCGGCCGATTCCCCCTCCTCCGCCCTCCATCCCACCTCCGGCAACGCAAACCTCCTCGCCCAACGCCTCAGCGCCTCGCTCGCCCGCTCCACAAGCGCCTCCGCCCTAGCCACGCATCATACCACCCGCAACTCGGCGCCCGCAACCCCCGCCGCCACGGCCCATTTCCACCAGCGCCAGCGCGAATCCTCCGCCGGCGCCGTCGAGAACAAGCGCCGCAGGCTCAATGCTTCCTTGGGCACCCTCCCCGTTGCGTCCTCGAGCCTGCGGCAATCCTCTCTCGGCCCCGGCACCCCCAAGGCAGGCACCCCCGCCTCCAGCCGAGCGGGCAGCGCAGGTCCCCGCTCGCAGCTCGCGAGCAAGAAGGCCGCCACCAAGAAGGTCGCGCCGCATCAGCAACTGAAAAAGATCAAGGCGCACGGCAAAGCGACGAAGCGGTCGTCCAGCGCCGGCGGGCGGGTCAAGCTTGCGACGAAGAAGTCGCCGTCTGCGGCGGGCGGCGACGAGGATGAGGATGACTCGATGCTTAGCAGTGCGGATGTCTCGGATTCGAATACCAGCGATAGACGCATGGATGAGGATGTCGATGACGAGGAGGAGGAAGAGGAGGGGAACGAGGATACCAAGGTCTACTGTACGTGTCGCAGCGTCAGCCATGGAGACATGGTTGCTTGCGATAACGACAACTGTCCGTATGAGTGGTTCCATTGGAAATGTGTTGGCTTGATGCGGGAGCCTGTGGGGACTTGGTACTGCCCTCATTGCAAGTCGAATCTGGGGAAGTAGGGTTGCATTCTTTTGGGGGTTTTCTATGAGCCTTTGTTTTTTTCGCGTTTGGTCTGCTGGCGTTCGTTTATGCGAGGTTGTTTTTATCTGACTGTACATATATACCCTTTCCATATGCCTTCACGAATGGCATCAGACTCGAAATATCATCACAGAGTTCAATATCGAGAATGAGCCCTCTAGTTCTTTTGTAAGAATGATTGCAGCTGGAGCCACCATGAAACTACCTTAGCCTCCTACGAGAAGGACTTCAACGTTCCATACAAGACCATCCACATGCAAAGACAAAGACAAACAATCATATATTCATGTCATTAACTAGAGAATTACAAACATGCCCCATCACTCCATCAAAAAGCAATAGGTAGAGAGCTGCGGCTGTTTAAAAAAAAAACTAATTTTGAACTTTGAACAGGAGTATCTGCAATTCATTTCCATCATATCTCCGTAACTAGGCGCCTCGCCTACCGGCCCAGGCGGATGACGCCGGCCGCCATGAGTTTCTGGATCTTTGTCCGGACCTGGGCGTTCTTCATGTGCTCCTGCAGAGCGGCAGGGTCGCCCTTGGCCTGCTGAAGGATGCTCTGCATGACGGGGTCCTGAAGGATCGACATGATCTATTTGACACTGCGTGTTAGAGTGGTTGCTCAGACTTGGGGAAATGGCGGGAGGGTGGCTTACTTCAGGGTCGTTCTGGATTCTCTCCATGGTCTGCTGCTCCGTCTCGCCGGCGCGGGCGCTGAACTGGGCCTCCAGACACTTCTGCTGCTGCTGGTCGATTTCGCGTGCGTGGGTTCCATCGTCCTGCTCTGCGGCTTCCGTGCAGGCGTCCAGAGCCCTGTTGTACTCCTTCATGGCGACCAAAGCCTGGGACTTGCGCATGTAAGCGCGAATGAACTTGGGATCACGGCGGATAGCCTCGTCGCAGTCCTGCACAGCCTGAGGGAAAGCCATGAGCTTGATGAGGGCGGCCGCACGATTCGAGAAGCCTCTAGGGTCGTTCGGGGCCCGCTTCGTCATCTCAGTGAAGGCATCGACGGCACCGGGCCAGTCTGCCTCCTGGAATTTCTGCTGTCCAAGCTCGCGGGCCTTTTCGGCCTCGCCGGCGTCGATGTAGGCCTCCTTCTCGGCCTTGGCCTTGGCCTTTTCGGCGTTGCGAAGCTTGGTCAAAGCGTCAGGAGTACGGTGCTCAGTGAGGGATTTGTGGTAATATTCAATGGCTTGTGTGAAATCGCCCAGCTTCTCGTAGGCAGTACCGATTCTCGCGAAGGCCCTGGATGTAAAAGAGAGTATGTCAGTCACAATTCCGAAGAATCATGCAACATATAACTTACTTAGCAATGACCTTGAAATCGGCTCTGAGCTCACGGCCTTCCTCAACGGCCTTCTGGCAAGTCTCAATGGCACCCTGGAGATCGCCCTTCTCAAACTTGGCTGCGCCAATGTTGTTCAGGTATGTGATGTCTTTGTTAAGTTCCCAAGCCTTGGTGTAGTGCTCGATAGCCTGATCGAACTGCTTCTTCTTGTAGAAATCGTTACCAATCTTCTTCTCAGCATCGCCGGCTTCCTTGGCTTCCTTCTGGGCGAGCGTGTCTTCGTCCATGGGTTCGGGTTCGGGCACAGGTTCGGGTTGAGGTTCAGACTGCTTGCTAGGTTCTGGAGGAGCAGGCACATAATCCGACATGGGCACATCTTCGTCGGCATTAGCGCCAGCGCCGGCAGCCTCCGGAGGAGCACCGAAGCTCATATCAATTCCCAGCAGAACACTCATAACCTGCAGGAAGCGGGGATCCTGGAGCTCCTGGCCGATGCTGTTGGGGTTTTGCTGGAGACGCTGCAGCTTCGACATGAAGTCGCCGTCTGCAAGGAGAGCGGAGGTCTTGGGGTTGCTGGCCAGTTTCTGGAACAGCTGGGGATCGTTGAAAATTCCACCGAGGCCAGCGGTCGGGTCGCCGGTGACACCGTCAGCCTGTGCCTCGGCATCAATGGCTCTCTTCACATTGTTGAAACCGATCTTTGCCTGCTCATTTCCGGGGTCGAGCTTGAGAGCCTCTTCGTACGCATCATGAGCACCCACTGCAATGTCGTCATTAGCACCTCGCAATCATAGCTTCTATACTATCCAACGATAAGCTTACAGAGATCTCCGAGGCCCCGGGACGCGGCTCCCTTGCGGCTCCAGCCTTTCGACCAGTCCGGCTTGATCTCAACAGCCTTGTTGGCATCCTCGAGAGCTTTCTGGTATTCGGACTGCGCAGCATAGACGGCGGAACGGTTGGAGTAGAGGATATAGTTACTGGGATCGAGCTGGATAGCTTGTGTGAACTTGTCACTGTACAGAATCCCAAAGTAGTCAGCCTTCGCTGTCCATGCTCATGGGCCCGAGGTCGCTCAAAAGGGCGGGGTAGCATATACTACTTACATCGCAGTTGGATAATCTTTGGCAGAGAAGGCCTTGTTGCCTTCTGCCTTCAAAGCGTCAGCCATACTGGGGATATTCTGGGGAGTAGGTATACTGGAACAAGAATGAAACGATAAGAATTCTGATTGAGGAGAAAGATGGGAGGAATAATAATAAGTAGATGACGGACAAAGCGAGAGCTGGGGCCCATATTAATGATGAGCTTTGCCCGTTGGAGCTTCTGGAAATTTCCGAGGAATGGGATAGAGTGCCTGAGGCAGCGAGGCAGCGAGGCAGCGAGGCAGCGATCAGGCTAAGTCTTTGGAGCTCTTTGGAGCTAAACCCTATTGGGATGGACGTGTCCCCGCTAATCAAAAATCGCTGGTGGAAAAAAAGAAAAAAAAAGAAAAAAAAAAATAACATCTCCGCCGCCGTTTTTTACGTAGCAGTTAGTCACTCCAGGGTTGAACCCGCTGCGCAAAAGAACAAAAGTTGTGATTCTGGCTGCTTTTACGCTTTGCATTGCGGGGGCTTCTTGGTTGCCGTTGTCGTCGCTTCTTGGATTTGACTCTATTTTCATACCTGACCATGTTCGCTGTTCGGTGATTGCTCTTCTGACGCTTCGATTCGATCGGCTCCAATATGGCCTCCGCGGGCCCCTCCAGCGGCTCTATCAACGAGCTTGCGTCCAGACTCTACGATGAATGCTTGAAGAAATTCCCGCCTGATCATCTCTTCTACCAACAGGATCTGCTGGGTCTGGGTGTTGTTGAGAAGAATAACCTCGCCCTTCTGCTGCAGTGCACCCAGTCGCTTGTTGATCAGAAACTCTTCCGTCTTTTGCAGGGCAAAAATGATCGACTGGCATGGAAGATTATTTCTCGGGAGGACGCCGAGAAGTATGTTATTCGGTTGCGATCGTTTGGGTGGTCAAGCGCTCGTGGGAACTAGTTGCTAACGTCCTGTCTTCTCTCTCTTTCAGGCTTCAAAATCTCAGTCCCGACGAAAGTTTAGTGTACAATGTCATCCACTCGACAGGACGGAACGGCATCTGGGTCCGTCAGATAGTAACTCGCACTGGTCTACACAAATCGATCCTGGATCGCTGCCTCAAGTCGCTTGAAGGGAAAAACTACATCAAGAGCGTTCACAATGTCAAGTTCCCCAGTCGGAAGATGTATATGCTGGCGGGCCTGGCGCCAAGCGAGGACGTTACCGGTGGTGCCTGGTTCACCGATGGAGTGCTGGACGCGAACTTCATCAGTACCGTTGCTGGTTTTATTGAGTACACCGTCAGCCGGAAGAGTTGGTACGAGGTTCCCGCCGCCGACGCCCAGCGCAACAAGCGTTTGAAAACCGTCAACGGCCATGCCGCTGTGAAATCGGAGCCAGGAGAGAAGAGATATCTTCCGTTCCCTGCTGGCTACCAGGGCTATCCGACTGTTGGGATGATCACCGCGGCCGTCAACGAGAGTGGGATTACCCCCGTGCGGCTGGGAGAAGAGAGTATTGTACAGTTGCTGGAAATGCTTTGCTACGACAACAAGTTGGTTGCGCTGAACAATGGGGAATTGTACAAGTCAGTCAAGAACCCCGCGACCGTGAAATTGGACAAGAGCCGGAAACCGGAGGGCGATGAGGCAGAGGTTGGGGATAGCCTGGTCAAGAATGGCATGACGGAAGCGCCCTGCGGGCAATGTCCTGTCTTCAAGCTCTGTGCCCCCGGCGGCGCCGTGAGCCCAGAGAGCTGCGAGTATTTTGACCCTTGGCTGGACAAGGCGCTGGCCTTCTAGGACCGTGGCATAGGCTCCCGACTGCCTTTCTTTTCGCCCGTCCTATTTTTCTTTCTTGTGTATAGCGAGCGCATCTAGCGCCGGGTGATTTGTGTCTGCATAGCGATGGCGTTCTTATGTCTTGGGACTGGACAATGTTGAGATCTTTTGTTCTCAGTCATGAGCAACTTGTGCAGGATGAGGGAGGGATACGGCCATTGCAGGGGGATCTCCCTCTTTTTCATGGTTATATTTGATATAGACGATTGCTGTCATGTAGATGCTGGAATATTTGGACCTTTTTTTCACATGGCTTCTGGTCAGATATCAGTGATTGCTGGACTCCGTAGACACTGTGCTGTTTTCTTTCCTGCGCCGTTACGTCTGTCGCAGTTGCACTTGTCACTGCAGGTTATTCTTCGATCTGCAAGAAGCACCGTCACTTTCCTCTGTATGGATCAAAGTGTCATTTGTAGGGCATGGCATATCCCCTGTGTCTCAACTCAGTAGCCTGAGGAGGAGGACATACCAACAAGCAAAAGTCATTCAATTGGCCCTTTAAGGATGTTGGGAACCCGCAAGTGGTGTGACGAGAAGATACCTATCTCCCGAGCATACCCATTTACTCCGTACATACTCAAAATCCATGCTTCATCAAAGCCCACAATCACAACCCCGTCTTGAACAGCAAAATAATCAACCAATGACCCTACATTATACCTCGATATCCCGATCATACGAAATCCCACCAACGGCTCCGAGTCGACACAGATACTATCATGCCACAATACCAGCAACCAGCAACCAGCCGTCCCTCTCTTCCAGGATAAAACAAGCGGACCCTCCGATTATCCTCGATTAGCTACATGGGCTAGCACGAACTACACAAGTCTTAAAAAACAGGAGAGAAAAAAAACTCAGCACATGGGCCTGGAATGGAAAGGCTGGCAAAAAGCAGACAAAAAAAAAAGAAAAAAACATCCTCGTTTTTGGGGCCAATGCCCATGCGCGATTGATTGGAATGCGGGTGGCTGGACGGGCAATTCGTCGTCCACTCGTCCCGTGCTAAATGTTGGACGGACGAAGACCGAGTTATGCGGTGGTTTATGTACGGTGTACTCCGTACATCTTTTGTATCTGTCTCTTGGACAGGCTGGACTACAGCAGACTGCTACTGCTCTGACTAAACGAGATGATGCTGATGGAGTATGGTTTGGTAAATTGTTGATGATGATGATGATGCAGAGGACGGAGATTTTAGTGAACGGTTTGGTGGAATATATATTGTTTATATTCCGCATGGATGAACGGGATATCCTCGGCCTACGGAGTAGACTAATGATCGAGATCCGAGATCCGATTCATGAACTCACAACAATATGCCCTATATTCCGTATATACTATGGAGTACACAGGACCAAACGCCTCTGGTAGACTATCAGTATCAGGATCAAGGGCAGGATGAGGAAGCGCCAATTGTCATGCATTCACGGCGAACGCGCGATTCGTAAAATATCAGCCAGCACTCATGCATGACGTGTAATCGAGGTATCCAGATAACTACTTGCTAGTCGTCACTGCATTGGTCTAGTCTGGATGGGATTAGCCTGCTAGATGGAAAGCCGAGTGGCGAGGTCCATGGGCATGAACAGGGTAGATAGGCAGGTGTAGCATAGCGGAAAGGCGTAGCTGAGTGCTATACCGCTTTGTCTTCGGAACTCCAGAGTACAGACTATCTATGGAGTATATATGAGTGGTTTGATTCAACATTTAACAGATAGTTAGTCTCACTTTTGGACTAACTAGATAACTACTGTGTAGATAACTAGTAGAGGCAGTTCAGTCCCTGGATCTTGGGACTACTGAAACACTTGCTGATCTGGTGTGATCGTCCGTGATGATCAACAGCAGCTTGAAGAGTGATACCAATGACCATCATACCGATAGCCCTACCACTGTCGAGGGTCGGTAACATCTTTGGTAGGCCAGACAAGACAGACCGGATGAACTATGAGCATGAAGGCAATAGAATACTCCCAGGATCTTCTGGAATTCATCCTAGTTCTCAAGCACTACTCCGTATGTAGAAAGACAGGGGGGACACAAGGAAAACTCCGTAGTCGGTACAGTTCAGAATGAGCGCGGATTTCATTTCCACTGTGGGTTCCTTGGAGTACTAACAGGGGTTGAATAATAATAATATGACAGGAAGAAGAATGAAAAACAACTCGAGTGCAGGTTCTAGCATTGACTGAAGGAGATATCCGCATTTACTTTACTACTGTGTATACCTGGCCCCGATAAATTTAGGAGTGGGAATATCGATGTGGCGCACTATTAATATTCGGGGAGAAGATGGTGAATTTGTGATAAATTACTAGACTCCGTGCGTGTGGCGGTGCAGTGCTCTGTTTTCAGCTAGGTAAGTTAGGTTAGGTTAGGTCAGGTTGGTCCGATGGATCTGTCTGTGTTCAATAATAGAGTAGGTAGGTAGTTCACAGTCACAGCTATTCTTGAACTCGGTCGACGCAGAAGTATTGGGATTTCAGCTGAGGTATTCTGTTCTGCGTATCAAGAACAAAAAGAGACGACCTCTAGAAGCACGAATACAGTCCGAGGCTGGTGGGACATGGGATGATGGGACAGCATCGGAGTTTGGGGGTTGGGAGTTGGGACTGGGAGATTCAGGAGCTGGCGTAATAATTCCCACTAAATTGAGAGATAGTTCTCCACTGACAATATTCACTAAGTCGCTCGAACTAGTTTGTACTTTGTACTTGGTAGATTAGAGGGGGAAATAATAATAATAATAATAATAAAAAATAAAAAAAAAGAGATCGATCGTGGAAGCTCGTCTGTTTCTTTTCTGGACTGCTAGAGTGCTGGTCTCTGCTGTAGGCTGTAGCCTGTACTCCGTTAGAAGTGTAGAAGTGTAGATACATTGTAGGTAGTCTATCTACTACTATGTACGTCACGACCTCATGTCCAGAGTAGGTACCTGGCCTGATCTTCTCTCTCTCCCATCCTTCTCATTGCTCTCGGTTTCTTCTCTTTTATATTCTTTTCTACATCTCAAGACATCGACTCATCATCCGTCAGTTGTCACTCTCCTCCAGTTTCCCCCTTCGATGCCAATTGTTTCGTCGGTGGTGGTACTACTTACTGTGGTACACTAGGAGCCTCTCCCACTTTGACGCAAGTGGCTCGACGACTCTCAGTCCTCCCGCTTTTGGGAGTATTCGATCTGGCTGTACTATCTACGGATATCTACTGTGAATTGACTTTTTTTTTTTTTTTTTTTTCCCTTTTCTTCTCCCTCTTTTTCTTTTTCCTTTTTCATAGACGACGTGTTAGCGGACTATCGGACTCGGACGTGATTCAATTCCATCGTCCAGGGACCCCAACCCACCAGCCTCCCCTTTCTTTCTTTTCTCCGTCCCAGGCCACAGTCCACACTTCGATCATAGTCAAACACACCCAAGATCTGCTCTCTTCCCCCTAAAAAAGTGGGCGCCTCAGTTCCAAGGTACGCAAGAACCCCTCCTCCTCCATCGCATGCTTCGCATTTCTGCATCTCACCTGTCGTTGGTGCTTGCGCCGGTTCGGAATCCCCGCTGCGGAGGTTCCTGAAGGCAACCATCGAAACCAAAGCGCCAAAAGGCCCAGTACTTCCCACCTGAATGTGCTGGACTGGACGCCCACGAACCTTGACGAATTTCCACTATCTCCTGTAGCACCTCTTTTTTTTTTTTTTTTGTTGGCGGGGGGGGGCACTCTTCGTTCCCTTTTCTCCTCTTCGGAGTGTTCTCACTTTCTCTTCTTTCTGTTGTCGATTTTCTACAATCCCTAGGGGACAAACGGTCACCACTGGTAGTCTAATTCTAATCGAGTTGTAGTAGGTGATTGTTCACCCGAGGCTTGCCGTTCCATCTCCCCAGCCGGAGAGAGCGATGGCGTCGCAGAATGTGGAAGATCGCATGGGCGAATTGAGGCAGCAGGGAGCCATTGCGACTGCCCAAGCAGCCTCCAAAGACCCCCAGTCCGATCTCCGACCAGAAGCCGTGGAAAAGGTGTTGGTGGAGGAAACCAGAAAGGCCGGAGTGCCGGCCTACACCTTCCAACCCGATGCGTCTCCTGAGGAAAAAGCCGCCGTCGCGCAAGCTGTGAGTTGCAATTCCATTCTGTTTGTGATTGTTCGGGTCCAATTGGTCGCTGACATCCTCCCGCTCGACATACAGCAATTACCACCAGGGTTTCACCACGACAGGAAACCGAAGGGAAAGGCGATTGTTACCGATGTTGTAAGTCTACAAGCGCGCCGAATCAACCGTGTTCCACCATCAGTTGTCTTATCAGAACCCCTCTTTTGTAGGACGATGGCACCCCCGACCAGTACGATTTGCCCCCTCCGAAGTCGGCAACCGAGGTCCTCCAGGAGGAAGCCTCAAAAACGTCAGAGGAGAAGAAGGAAGGTAAAGAATTGACCGAGGATATGCGATGGGCCCGCGACCGGACAGGATGGGCTCCGCAGTTCGATAAACCACAGACGGAGGAGGAGAAGCAAGAGGGCACTCTGCTCGACCACCAGGATTTCCTGGAGAGCAAGCTGGATGACAAGTTCTTTGGAGGTGAGCGGCACACTGCGATAGTTAAGACTATGGGGTTTCCTGGTCTGCGCAACTAACGAGTAATTCGAAATCCACAGACTGGTATCACAATGCGGCCGTGATCATCTTCGCGTGTCTAGCCTCCTGGCTCGTCGCTGTTCTGGGTGGTGGATTGGGGTGGATTTTCATCGTCATGGCCGCCTGCAGCACGTACTATCGGACATCGATTCGGCGCGTGCGACGAAACTTCCGGGACGACGTCAACCGGGAAATGGCCAAGCAACGCCTGGAAACCGACACTGAGAGTCTGGAGTGGATCAACAGCTTCCTGGTCAAGTTCTGGCCCATTTATGCGCCCGTCCTGTGTGACACCATCATCAACTCGGTCGATCAGGTTCTCAGCACTTCGACCCCTGCCATGTTAGATAGCTTGCGATTGAAGACCTTCATCCTCGGTAGCAAGCCCCCACGGTTGGAGCATGTCAAGACCTACCCGAAGACCGAGGTCGACACTGTGATCATGGATTGGAAGTTCAGCTTCACACCCAACGACGTTATGGATTTGACTGCCCGCCAACTGAAGAACAAAATCAATCCTAAGATCGTCTTGGAAGTCAGACTGGGTAAAGGTGTCGTGAGCAAAGGTCTTGACGTGATTGTCCAGGACATGGCGTGTAGCGGTCTGATGAGGGTCAAGGTGAAACTTCAAATCCCCTTCCCCCATATTGAGCGTGTCGATGTCTGCTTCCTGGAGCGCCCTGAGATCGACTACGTCTGCAAACCTCTCGGAGGCGATACTCTTGGCTTCGATATCAACTTCATCCCCGGTCTCGAAACCTTCATCAAGGAGCAGATCCACAATAACCTCGGACCGATGATGTACGCTCCTAATGTCTTCCCGATCGAGATCGCCAAGATGTTGGCGGGCAACCCTGTAGACCAGGCCATTGGCGTCGTTGCTGTTACGCTGCACGGCGCCCGACAGCTGAAGAACCCCGATAAGTTCTCTGGTACTCCCGATCCCTATGCCGTCGTGTCTCTCAACAACCGACTCGAATTGGGCCGCACGAAGACCATCCACGACACCGACAGCCCCAGATGGGGTGAGACAATTTATGTTATCATCACGTCCTTTGCTGAATCTCTCACGATCGTCCCATATGACTGGAACGAGTTCCGGAAGGACAAGGAGCTCGGTACTGCCACGTTTCCATTGGACAGACTGGAGGAGCAACCCGAGCACGAGAGCATCGATCTCGAGGTTATGGCTAGCGGCAGATCGCGTGGCGCAATTCATGCGGATATCCGATTCTTCCCCGTGCTCGAGGGCCGCAAATTGGAAAATGGTGAAACGGAAACCCCACCAGAATTGAACACCGGTATCGCTCGGTTCACCGTCGAGCAAGCCAAGGACCTCGATGCCTCCAAGAGTATTGTCGGTCAGCTCAACCCTTATGGTGTTCTGCTCCTGAACGGAAAGGAAATCCACATCACGAAGAAACTGAAGCGCACAAACAACCCGATCTTCCAGGACAACTCGAAGGAGTTCTTGATCACGGATCGAAAATCGGCTCGCCTGGGACTCATCATCAAGGACGACCGAGACCTGTTGACGGATCCCATCATCGGTTCTTATCAGATCAAACTGAACGATATGCTCAAGATGATGGAGAAAGGCCAGGATTGGTTCCATCTTCATGGAGCCAAGAGTGGACGGGTCAAGTTGACGCTGCAGTGGAAGCCAGTGGCCATTGGCGGCATCTCCGGCAGCGCTGGCTATATTGACCCGATCGGTGTGATGCGCCTTCACTTCAAGAAAGCGACTGATCTTCGGAACCTGGAAAAGATGGGCAAGTCGGATCCATATGTGAGGGTCTTGCTTTCAGGCATCATGAAAGGGCGTACGGTCACGTTCAGAAACAACCTTAATCCCGAGTGGGATGAGGTGGTGTATGTCCCTGTTCGCAGTGCTCGGGAGAAGCTCACCCTGGAGGTGATGGATGAGGAATCGATCAATAGCGACCGAAGCCTTGGCTCGCTCGAGCTCAATGCTGCTGACTATGTCCACGAGAATGAGAACGGGGAGTATGAGACTGATGACGAGAAGCAGCTCATCGCCAGTCCTCTGCGCCTGGGTAACCGTGAGAAGGGCATTCTTCACTACACAGTTGCGTTCTATCCTGCTGTTCCTGTAGTTAATCCCGAAGACGAGGCCGAAGACGAGGAGGGTGAGGAAGCTGAAGGCCTCGATCTTCCCGGAAGGAAGAGCATCGACTCCAAGCGCAAGAGCCAGCATTCCAAGAATCCCAGCGTGGACTCCAAGGCCTCCAAGACCAACGGTCAGAACGGTGTTGCCACCAACGGCACTACGACGAATGGTGTCAGCGATCTCAAGGTTCCTGGGCGTCGCGGTAGCTTCTCGACTGTCGGTTCCAAGACCAAAGATGCCGAGATCATGTCTGTCAGGTCGATCAAGACAGTGCCCAAGACATACATTGGTGCGGAAGATGTCTCCAAATACGGTATGTTCTTGTTCTCATTCCCCGAGTTCAAGGTCCCATAGCCAGCAGCTAATCTTGCCATAGAATCCGGGTTCTTGGTGTTCAAGTTTCACGAGGCTCAGCTTGCCCGTTCAAACGTGCAACTCGAAGTTCTGATGGATGACCACATGTTCCCCTCATATTCATCGCCAAAGATCCGGTCGAAATCCGCCAAGCTTGTGGATGGTTTGTGATCCGCTCTTCGATAAAATTGAGAGAGAAGGCTAACTGGTTCGTAGTTGGCGATGCGTTTGTCCGTGAATTGGAGTTCTCCAAGATCACTCTCCGCCTTGTGGACAAGAATGACCACAAGGATGACAGTGATGAACATACGGTTGCGAAATTGACCGGTGACACACTTCCTACATTGCAACGCATTCTGGTAGGTTTGACCAGCTTAGTCTTAGGTGTCTTGACTAATCATCTGCAGTATGCCCCTACTGAGCTTGTCCTCCGCTCGAATGACGGCGAGGTTAGCAAGGTCACTGTCAGTGCCAGATACATCCCAGTGAAGATGAAGCTTGACCCAAGCGAGAGCATCAACAATATGGGTACCCTGCGTGTAGATGTTCTGGATGCCGCGGAGCTTCCATCGGCCGATCGAAACGGCTTCAGCGACCCGTACTGCAAGTTCCGACTGGATGACGAGGTGGTTTTCAAGACCAAGGTGCAGAAGAAGACCCTTCATCCGGCGTGGAACGAGTTCTTCGAGACCCCGATCAAGTCTCGAATCGGCGCCAAGTTCCGGGTGGATGTGTACGATTGGGATTTCGGCGACAAGGCCGATTACCTGGGTGGTACCGACATCAATCTCGAGATGTTGGAGCCCTTCCACAGCCAGGAGATGTCCCTGACGCTGGACGGTAAATCGGGAGCGATTCGACTGAAGATGCTCTTCAAGCCCAAATACGTGATGCGGTCGCGGCAGGGCTCCTCCACGTTCTCCGGTACCTTTGCCACTCCCGGAAAGATTGTGGGTGCGCCCGTCAAGGGTGTGGGCTTCGTGGGTGGCAACGTCATCAAGGGAGCATCCTTCTTGAAACACGGCATCATGTCACGGTTCAAGGGGGATGACTCGTCCGGCGATGAGAATGCTGAAGAACCTGAGGAGGCGTCGCGGGCCGAGCCCAGCCAGGCGCCGCCATCCGCTATCCTGGTTGAGGGGGCGACCCCGCCAAGCTCCACCCCGAACTCCCTCCAGCACGCCCGCACCCGTAGCGTGGTGTCGCACTTTGGGGACCGCCTCGGAATCAGCGGGGGCGCCGGCAAGGGCGAGACGGGCACAGCTACCATCACCGTGGTCTCGGCCAGCAACTACCCCCCGTCGGCCAATGTGCGGGTGCACATCAAAGCCATTGGGCCCAAGGGTGCCAAGGAAGTGCTCAAGACCAAGGCGATCAAGAGCGGCGGCGGCCCGGTGAACTTTGACCCGTCCCACGAGACATGCCGGGTGCACAACACCACGGCTGATGCGCAATACCAGATCCGCGTGGTGGATCACGCCACATTTGGCTCGGACAGCACTCTGGGTGAATCACTGTTCTTCGTGGATGACCAGGGCTCCATGGCTGGACAGGAGAAGCCGGTCAAGGCCGGTACTGGCGTGGTCTCGATCCGCAGCAGCTTCTCGATTCCGGAAGGCAGCCTGCGGCCGGGCACTGCGCACTCGAACAACGATGCCGCGTCGGAGTTGTTGGATAGCCCCGACTCCAAGAAGATGGGACGGCGCAGTTTTCTCAGCAAGAGAAGTGTGAGTGGTGCATAGAGAGTGACCGACTTAATCCTTTCATTTTTTTTTTTTTTTCATGTCTGGTTCAATTGTTTTTGGATGATGGATGTCTTTCTTTTTCCTGCATATTTTTTCTTTAGCTTATGTGATGTGATATCCCTCGCCTCTTAGCGATAGCGTCCGAATCTCGAATTTTGACGTCAAGATGGATTATTGGCTCTGTGGGACCCGGATGGCCTCAATATGACTGTGTCGGAGAGTGGTTCCGATGTGTTTGCTATAGGTAGATAGGTAGTGGCCGCTGTCCATACGGAGTAATTTGGTATATAAGTATTCTATCCTTATCATAAAGCTTATGAATTGCATTCAACTGTGTCAGTTGCTATACTCTGTATAGAATCGTTTCATATGAGGGTTGATGTACGAGAATAAGCAAGACACTTCTCACCTGAAGGTTGATTCTCGAAGTCCTTACTCGGTCTATAGGTCTATAGGATTAGAGGTTTATCAAGAGAGCTAGGTAGCTACTTTTAGAATATTTTGCCTGAGACAATGCAAGAGCCTGTTACTGTAAGGTGAGGACTGATGTGACGATATATATGGTTTACTACGTAGTCGAAGCACTCTGTACAGTGTACTCCCGAGAACCTCTCCCGCTTCAGCCTTTCTACCTCGAGGAGAGAGGATCGGAGCTCCAACTCTAAGAGTGCATGTCCATAAAATATCAATCTTATTGCCCTATGAGGCTATGTATGTATATATATATACTCTGGTATATATGTATGTAAATAGGTTGACCCCGATGATGGACCATTGAACTTGACTACGGAGTATGGACTACGGATAGATGGAAGGTCGATAGATGGATAATTTCATCAGGTGAGAGAGGACGAGTGAGACATGACTAGTCATGGAATATATATATATACATAGTATATTTATATATATATATAGTAACCGGTGGATGAGACAGGATCGGATCACTATTGTATTTGGAGCCCCTCCCCCCCCGTACCACTACCAGGGATGCAAATTGATGGAAGGGTGGGTACGGCTACGGGATACTGCTTGAACTTCAGCCTCCGTGGAATTTTTGGTCTACTGTGTAGGTGGACTGTACTGGAGACTGTTCTATCTACGACGGGAGGATCTTGATGGATGGGATGGGATGACGGTTGTGGACTGAGCTGTGTACTCCGTAGATTGTATTGTATTGTGATTTGTGGGAGGCGAGAGAGGTATATTTAGTAACAGATTGACTTTTTTTGCTTCGCTCGAAGCTGAGACTGAGACTGAGAGACTACAACTGTAGAGAGAGAGAGAGAGAGAGAGAGAGAGAGGAGGCGAAATAGACAGGATAGAGAGGGGTGGGATTGATTATCTATTTCTGTGCCTGATTTCTGTGCTCTGTGCTCTGTGCTTGTACTTGTACTTGTACTCCAGCACTATCCTGCTGTACCGTGTTCAGTAGTGTACAGTGTACTCCGGTCCCATGTCAAGGGGATCAGATATCAGATTGAGATTGGGCTTCGTTGAGCAAGACTGCAAGAGAGTAGTTGAAGGACTGAAGTACTCCGACCCTGTGTAGGCAATTTGTGGTTGGGCCTAGTCTCTGCAAGTCTGTGGTCCAGTGTAGAGTCTAGTCTTGATAACTAGTAGTAGAGACTAGAGAGACTAGATAGTAGGTACTAGGTACTAGGTACTACTACTAGGTAGTCTGTTGGTGGGGCTGAGAACCCTGAATCTTTTGGATGTGGATTGTGGGAGGTTCAAAGGGGGGGGGAAAGAGAAAAAAAAGGGGGGGAAAGAGTTCTACAGAAAAGTTTCTATCTGCTTGTTTTCTTGGAGAGGGGATAAGTAGGAAGATCGGATTGAATTGAATTAAACAAATTGAATAGAATAGAATTGACAGAGAACATTCTTAGGGATGGTTGACAGATTCTCAGAGCTTCGAGTATACAGAGTATACAGAGTAGAGAGAGTGTTGCAGGCAGGAAAATTACCACTGGTTACTAAGAATAGGTAACATGGAAGGGGAGAATCATAAATGCCCAAGTGCCTTAGCCCTTAGGCACCATACCACCTGGTCAGTGACACGTATGGTCTGGTACGTACTAGCCCAGCTCCTCCCCCTGATTCTCCCATATCCGCTGCATTGGACCAATGACATCCACCAGATCCGTCATACCTGTGGGCTCGGTGACGGTAAAATGTGGTAACTCCACTCTGATTACCAACCCCCACCTTGTTTTTTTGTTTTTTTTTTTTTTGTCCGTACCTTAGGTAACAACCTAAGGTAACAAGGTAATTACCTAACAACAAATGCTCTGATCAGGAGAAAATAAATAACATCATATCGTCATCGCAAGTATCCAGTCGATCTATTAATACGAGCGCAGCAGAAGAATAAATAGAAGTTGGCAGCTGTTCGGATCTCCTTCTTCTCTTCTCTTTTCTTCTCTTCTCTCTCCTCTCATCATCTCTCTCTCTCCATCTCAAACCACATCTCTCTATATCCCTCGGTCAAAAAACGAAAAGTGTACGTATCAGACTCCCAAGTTACCTGCCCCTCCTCTCTCCCCCTTGCACTACGGCGGTTGCCATGTTGCCATGTTGCCAATGACGGCAGCTTGTCGACATGGGATCAACCGCTGGTCCCCCCGTGGCAAACATGAACAACTGCACGGTGCTCAGATATCCCCTCTTCCTCCTTCTCGTCACTTCAGCTACAGCGACTACTTCACTTGCAAAATCTCTTGCTTAAAAAGCAATCTGCCATCTCCTGTTTCTCCCATCTCTCTACCTTATCGTCCATCTTTTTTCTTTCTCCCCTGAGCTTTTCTCGATCCATTCCCGGATTCTCGTCAGCTAACTTGCTCCCTTCCCAGTGAGCGGATTTGCAAAAACCCACCTCGAGATTCTTTTCGAGTGGATTCACTTGTCAATCTAACATATTTACTCTTTTATTTATCCACCACATCCTCCCCGAATAATCAGATACAATGGCCTCCAAAGCTTTGCCCACGCACCTCAGAGCCCCTGCCAACGATGCCGGCAACAATGGCGGGTTTGGCAAGCACCACGGAAAGTCTCAGTCTCACATGGTAAGTTCATACCTTTTATTTCCCCCCCCTCTCTATCGGTCGCAGTTCCAGATCTGCAAGTGTGGAAAGAGGGACGGTGCTGGGCTTGCCTAGCTAGCTTGTTTCGAGCTGGGCGGCCTTAACCTTAAAAACCATCAGCGACTCTCTCTTCTCCCTTGCTTCCCCCTCCTCTTCACTCCTGCACCTTGCATTCTTTACATGTGCACACTTTAATTACCCACGAGCTGTCATTTGATCTTCTCTCTTTCTCTCTCTCTCTCTCTCTCTCTCTCTCTCGATCATTCCTAAAATGCCAATCTCTATTGTTTCCAAACTAACAAATCCTCCCGCCCCCCAGGCCTTTGAGAATGCCTCGACCAGCGTTGCGGCGTCGCAGATGCGCAATGCCCTGAATGCCCTTTCCGAGACCGTCACCGACCCCAACGAGAAGAAGCGCTTCGAGGCTGAGATGGACAACTTCTTCGCTCTTTTCCGCAGATTCCTCAACGATAAGGCCAAGGGCAACGTCGTCAACTGGGACCGCATCAACCCCCCCCAGCCCTCCCAGGTCGTCGACTACAATGACTTGGGCACCGAGGCCTCGGTCGAGTTCCTCAACAAGCTGGCCGTCGTTAAGCTGAACGGTGGTCTGGGTACCTCCATGGGCTGCGTCGGCCCCAAGTCCGTCATCGAAGTCCGTGAGGGCATGTCCTTCCTGGATCTTTCCGTCCGCCAGATCGAGCACCTGAACCGCACATACAACGTTAACGTGCCCTTCGTGCTGATGAACTCGTTCAACACCGACCAGGACACCCAGTCCATCATCAAGAAGTACCAGGGCCACAACGTCGACATCATCACGTTCAACCAGTCCCGCTACCCCCGTATCATCAAGGACTCGCTTCTCCCCGCCCCCAAGAGCTTCGATGCTCCTCTCCAGGACTGGTACCCCCCCGGCCACGGTGACGTCTTTGAGTCGCTCTACAACTCCGGCACGCTTGACCAGCTGCTCGAGCGTGGTGTCGAGTACATCTTCCTGTCCAACGCCGACAACCTGGGTGCCGTGGTGGATCTCCGCATCCTGCAGCACATGGTCGACACCAAAGCCGAGTACATCATGGAGTTGACCGACAAGACCAAGGCTGACGTCAAGGGTGGTACCATCATCGACTACGAGGGCAAGGTCCGCCTGCTGGAGATCGCCCAGGTGCCCAAGGAGCACGTCAACGAGTTCAAGTCCATCAAGAAGTTCAAGTACTTCAACACCAACAACATCTGGATGAGCCTGCGCGCCATCAAGCGTGTGGTCGAGGAGAACGAGCTGGAGATGGAGATCATCGCCAACGAGAAGTCCATCCCCGCCGACAAGAAGGGTGAGGCCGACCAGGCCATCTACCAGCTGGAGACCGCCGTCGGTGCGGCCATCCGCCACTTCAAGAACGCCCACGGTGTCAACGTCCCCCGTCGCCGCTTCCTGCCCGTCAAGACTTGCTCCGATCTCTTGCTGGTCAAGTCGGATCTCTACCGTCTGGAGCACGGTCAGCTGGTCATGGACCCCAACCGGTTCGGCGGTGTGCCCGTCATCAAGCTGGGTTCCGACTTCAAGAAGGTCTCGGACTTCCAGAAGCGCATCCCTAGCATCCCTCGCATTGTCGAGCTAGACCACCTGACCATCACCGGTGCCGTCAACCTGGGTCGCAATGTCACCCTGAAGGGAACCGTCATCATCGTGGCTACCGAGACCAGCACGATCGACATCCCCCCTGGCTCGGTGCTGGAGAACTGCGTGGTCCAGGGTAGCTTGAGAATCCTGGAGCACTAGATGAAACGAATGCCATTTGCATTTGTGTCATGGTTGTTGCTGTTTTTCTTTTTTTCCCCTCCCTTTTAAGGCATTTTTAATTATCGGCTTGCAGCCCCTGAACATGGTGTCCTTCACTAACCGGGAGATGGACTTCTTTGGGTAGCTATCTCATGGAACCCGCTTGAGATGTCCTTGTGCGGGACGGAAATGATGGGCAGACGTATAATGTGTCAGCGCCCTTTTCTCGTCGTGTTGTTGCAGCAAAAAATCTGTTTAGCAGGACAGCATGCTTTTCCTTTTTTCTCCTTCTTACTGTTATTTAATTGTCTCGCGGTCGAAGCCACTCCTGGTTGAATGGGGTTTCTGAGCGATGTGGGTTTTGTTACCAGATTATCTCTTAGTTTGTGAGGCCTGCTAGCTGGACCTCGCATAATGTCAATAACTGACTGACTCTTACTACGTCAACGTTCTAAGCTAAGCTTCCCTGAGCACTTTTGGATTGACCCTTGACCCTTCCGCCGAGTATCAAACCACAGATCTGTAGATTGGATACCTCTTCCGGCTGGTGGACGAAGAGGAGATCGATCCCGTATGACTTCAACGTCAACGCCGGGGCGACTCACTGGTTTCCATCCATGGTTCTTCGGGATGGTGTTCCTGGTAGCTCTCAATACCGTCGTCTGTACGTCATGCAGGCAAACCTGGCGCCTCCTATCGAGAAGGCATGGTGGGAAATGCTCACTCCGATGTCTTCAATTGTCTGCCGAGCCAGGTCAAGCGGAAGAGCAGCAGCCGTCTCAACTGACCCAACTCGACAGACTCTTAAGACCAAGGCCTCACAATCCATGCCGCGACATGACCGACCCAAACGCGTCCCTGCGCCAGCTCGCACCTGGCCCATCGCCCACCTCCCCGACATCCAAGCCTAAGAGCTCCGTCAAGGGCAAGGACAGACAGCGCTCGCCGACGCACTCCCAGCCATGGAAGAAGCGCGTCTCAACAGCGTGTCTGGCATGCAAGAAGTCGAAACGCAAGGTATCCTAGTCCTAGCCCCATCCTTCCTCCCCAGTCATATCCAAAGAAAGCTGATATACGATGGCGAGCGGGGGGAAACAAAAGTGCTCCGGCACCGCGCCCTGCGACAACTGCCGCGCTTTCAACCGTGCCTGCATCTTCGACGAATCGCTCGACCAGCGCCGCCGCGTCGCCCAGAAACGCACCGCCGACGAACTCAACTACCACCGCGACATGCTTAACGACCTCTTCCACCTCGTCCGCGCCGCCGACGAGCCGCACGCCCTCCGCCTCCTCGAGATCATCCGCAAGAACGCCACCGCCGAGGAGATCCGCGCGTACATCGACGAGACGCTCGCGCGGCTCGACACTAGCGGAGGAGGAGGAGGAGGAACTGGAGCGGGGGCAGAAGCCGGAGCAGAAGCGGAGGCCGGTAGGGGCGCTGGCGCCGACGACGAGGCCGCCCACCGCCTCGAGGACATCAAGCGCATGATCGGCGTCGAGGGCGCGGGGCCGACCTTCCGCCGCAAGGTCATGGACATCCACTACCTGTGCGACGAGGCGCCGTGCGCGGTGCCGGCGCAGCCGTGGACGGGCGTGACCGAGGACGCGGCCCTAGTCTCGCATCTCGTCTCGCTGTACTTCACGTGGGATTACCCGTTCCATGCGTTTCTGGACCGCGATGTGTTCCTGCGGGCGATGGGCAGCGGAGAGCTGGCCTCGGAGTTTTGTAGTCCGTTTTTGGTGAATGCGTTGTTGGCGAATGCGTGTGTGCGTTTCCCTCATTTCCCCGTCCACCCTTGCCTGCGTGGGGAAGGGTATTATTGGCAGATGGAGTTGACCGTGGGTTGGCTCTAGCATTTCTCGGATTTCTCCGAGGCGTATGTCGTCCCTGGTGACCTGGTGACCAAGGGCGCCGACTTCTTGTCCGAGGCGGAGCGGTTACGGGAGCAGGATCCCCGGAAACTCAGCCTGGCGTATCTGCAGGGCACGCTGCTGTTGTATGAGCGGTGGGTTGGCCTTGCCTAGTGCCTACGCCTGCCGTGGCGCGCGTTGCTGATATTCCTCTAGGTACTCGATCTCCGGCGACGACGACCTTGGGTATCTCATGCTGCACCAGGCGATCCGGGCCGGGGAGTCGCTGGGCCTGTTTGGGCCGGGGAGCGTGAAGCTCGAGGATTGCTCGACTGATATGGATGTTTCGATCAAGCGGACGGCGTGGGGGCTGTTCCATGTTGATACGTGAGTGGCTCGCACCTGGGCACTGCTGGTTCCGTGGTATGCTCATCCAAATCCCCTCCCCAAAAAAAGCGTCGTACATACCGGCTTCCTCCGGCCGAGTCTCATCGACAAGATCAACGTCGACCGCGTCGGCAAGGCAGACGACTCCGACTCCACGGCGCTGTGGATCCCGTACCCGTCGCATCGGGCGGCGCGCCCGGCCTATCTCCATCAGTACTTTGAGGAATCGTGCAACCTGTGCGAGATCGCCCGCGATATCTCCCGGGCATTGTTCGCCGATGACCTGAGTAATGCCTCGGCGGCGTACCGGCGCCAGATCAAGGAGGATCTGTACGAGAGGCTGCGCCGGTGGCATAATGCGCTTCCGGACGTCTTTGACCCCGGGCGACGGCCTCCGCCGCATATCATTCTCCTGCGGTATGTTTCCTTCTCGACCCTTTCAAGGGTGATGGATGTTGTGTTGACCAAGCAGAATGCGCTACTTCACACTCGTCATCAACCTGTTCTCAAGCAGCCCGGACGACGACGTCTCCAGCGTCGCCTCCGACGCCCCCCAGACGCCCGAGAGCCCACCGCGCCACAGCCCGATCCGCAGATACCACGCGTGGGAGATCACGCAGTCGGCGGCGCGGGGGATCGCCTCGCTGACGCGCCTGCACCGCCGCGAACACGGCATGCGGCGCGCACACCACTTCGCCCTGTACGCCATCAACCTCGCGCTGTTCACGATGCTGGAGCAGGACGCCTTCGACGTCCTGGACCCGGACTTCCTGTCGCTCGTGAGCTCGTTCTCCATCCTCGCGAGCCGCTCGCACCTCGGCCGCAGCCTGTTCCATATCTTCCGGCAGTCGGTGCGCGCCAAGGCGCAGGGCAGCCGCATCCGGGCGTCGAGCGCGGTCTCCGACGAGCTGAAGGACTTGTTCGATGAGGCGGCCCCGCTGAAGGATCTGACCCGCTGGGACGAGTACGCGGAGGGCCTCCACAAGCTCAACGAGGACGAGCGGTACCATGGGATCGGCGAGGGGGAGCACGGCCTCCAGGACTACCCGGGGCTGGGACTCTTCGACATGCTGGACCGGTACGAGAGTCTGAGTCTGGGCAAGGATGAGATCGTCCCTGAGAGATGCAGGCCGGAGTGATGTGTATCAATCAATAACTGTTGGGGGGGGGGGGGGGGTTTGGTGGCGAGTATCCTTGATGCCAAGGGGGTGAGTATCATATCTCCAATTAACCTAGGCGGGCTGCTATGAAATCATTGGACTACTACTTATCTACAGAATAGATAGATACAGAGAGAGAGAGAGAGAGAGAGAGAGAAAAGCGAACTTTCCTGGCCCTCCTTGAGGACTGTCGAATGCGACGAGCGTGCAGGCAATTCAGCCCGCCCTTTTCTCGGCGTCTTTTGACATCAAAGACAATCAAGCCGTGCTGTTTGGCTGCGGATGATCCACCATCGCCACTGGATGCGTTCATCCTCTCCAGCACCTTCCCGGACAGCCAGACATCGTAGGGCATTTCGTGCATCACCCCACGAGACATCGTCATGCATCTCCGTCTGAATTTCCACCAGCTTTGCTCACGGCGTCACTGGTTCAACTTCCCCCTCCCCCGTGACAATTACCAGAATAACACATGAGAGAAAATAATTCGCTTGGAAGCATCTTGATTCCCTCCCCATTGCCCATTGCCCATTGCCCTCCAGCCCGAATGCCTCCATGACACTTTCCACCCCAATGAACCTGCAATGGAAAACATTCCCAAACTCTATCCCACCATCGAGCTGCAGCCTCACGACGCCGCCAACGCCGGCTTCAAGCCCGACGGCCTGTCCGCCCGCGTACCCCCTGGGAGCGGACTGCCGCTGAGCCCCAGCGCGACGTCGCAGAACAGCCAGAGCGCCCCGTTCTCCTCCGTGCCGCCGTACCGCCCCGCCGCCGCCTACGAGCGCTCATACCCGCCGCCGCACCAGTCCTCCGCCTCGTCGTCGTCGCGCGACCTGCCCGCCAAGGTTGCGATTCCGCGCGCCGCGCCGTACAGCGTGCACGCGCAGCGCCTGCGGTCGGCGCGCGCCTGCGAACCCTGCCGCCAGCGCAAGATCAAGTGCGACGGCGACAAGCCCGTCTGTCGTCAGTGTCAGGAGAACCGGGTGCCCTGCTCGTATCTGGATGTGAAGCGCGTGCGTGATCAGAAGCAGCTGGGCATCCTGGCGCAGCGCGTCGAGCGGTATGAGCGGTTGCTGCGGGATCTGGAGACAGAGGTGGAGGGCGTGGCGGCGAGACGGATCCGACGGACGTTGAAGGTGCGTTTCTGATGTTTCCCCCTTGAGTCTCAATGAAGTGGATGCAAAAGAAAAAAAAAAAAAGCAAGAAAGAAGGCAACAAAAGCTGACGGGTCTAGGCGGCGAATCAACCGGGCGCGGGAGCCGAGGATGGCGATCTCTCTGATAGTTCGACCTCGTCGGCCGGGTCGCTGACTGCCATCGATCTCTTGGAGGAGGATCTGAACCGCAGCGAAAAGACGCGCGCGACGGGCTACTTCGGCAAGAACTCGGAGGTCTCCTGGATGCAGAAGCTGGAGGGCGAGGCCGAGAAGCGCGGCCGACAGATTGACTTCGACCCGGAAATGCTGGGCGACGACCAGCAGCAGCAGCAGCAGAAGCAGCAGCAGCAGCAGCAGAAGAGCGACATCCCCATCGCGGCCATGAGCTACCACCTCGACGATCTGGGCATCCCGCTCATGGACGACGTCGACCCGTATGCGCTGCCGCCGAAAAAGCTCGCGGACCGCTTCTTCGCCGCGTACATGGAGTTCGTGCACCCGGCGTTCCAGGTGGTGCGGAAAAGTATCTTTGTGAAGCAGTACTGGCAGTTCTTCAGCCAGCCGTCTAACCCGCCGCGGCGGTGGCTCGCGATTCTGAACATGATCTTTGCGCTTGGGTGTCGGTACTGTCGCTTGTTGAACGACGGCGCCGGCCTCAACGACAAGGACGAGGACGACGACTACGATGACGGGGACTGGAATGATCTGGTGTATCTGAACCGGGCGCGGAAGCTGTGTCTAGACGGGAATGTGCTGTTTGAGCATACGGACCTGCAGCAGATCCAGGTGGAAACCCTGGTGGCGCTTTATCTCCTGGCGCTGGGGCAGATCAACCGGTGAGTCTTCAGTCGATTATATGTCTCGTGGTGTCCTGCTAAGCGTTGTCAGGGCGTCTAACTTCGCCGGCATGGCATTCCGCTCTGCGCTCTCGCTTGGCATCAACCTGCGCTTCGAGGACGAGCGGACGCACCACTCCTCCAAGGAAGCGCGCGGCCGGCTCTGGTGGTCCATATACGTGCTGGAGCATCTCCTTACGGCGACGACGGGCCGCGCCTCGTGCGTCGGCGAATGGCTCACTTCCGCGCCGCTGCCCATCCCCTTCGAGGAGGAGAGGTTCGACACACCCGAGGCGGTGCGGCTGTTCCGGGACCCCCGGCTGCGCCTGCGGCACCTCAAGCTGTCGCTCTTCGAGACGGAGGACGAGGCACGCGCCAAGGCGCAGTGGCTCGCGGGCTGCGAGCCCAGCCCGTCGCTCTTCTTCCACTGCCTCGTCGACCTCGCCTCCATCACGCAGGCCGTCCTCAACAAGGTCTACTCGATCCAGGGCCTGCGCGACACCGCTGCGCAGTTCGAACAGCGTGTCCGCAAGTACTCTTCCAAAATGGACAGCTGGCTGTCCAAGCTTCCCGCCGCGTACAGTTTCACCACTGACCCGAACAACGACACCCTCTGTCTGGACGACATCCGCGAGCCCCGCGCTTCCTCCTCCCCTTTCACCCGCGAACGCGTCTGCCTCGCCTTCACCTACTACAGCGCCCGCATCACCATCAGCCGGCCCTGCCTCACCCCCACTCACATCAAATCATCCTGCTCCTCAAAGAACACCACCACAACCAGCTCCTCGTCCACCTC